AAAAATTACTATTGTTTGAGGTCAAAAACTTCGGGAAAGCTAGTCGTTCGAAATGGACGCATTTGACAGCAGAGGATACGACTGATCATCAGGGTGCTTGGGCAGCTACGACTGCACTAAATAGTAAATTCCTCGTAAAACACGCCGGTGGTATGAAAAATAACTTTGAAAGGCCGGCTGCAAAAAAGCGAAAAACTGACGTGTAATCCACTTGGTGTTGTTCTGTTATTATTTACAGAATTTGTCAGTTTATATGCATTTTTGTTTTTGTTTATATGAAAGATACAACTGTCGATATTCCGTTATGATCGATCGTTCACTGTTACTATAAATTGAAAACGCATGTTTTCTGGGTTCTGCGTTTATCAGTCTTAAAACTATTGGTTGATTCATCTCAAATTATGTGAAAAGGAAACAGAGGTGGTGGAGAACATTGGGTCACTGGTCAGCATTATATCTTATCCCTTTTTCATGCAGTTTGTGAAGATAAACCTGTTTCTCTTCTTTCCGTTTAAATTTCACGCCGAATTTTTGCTTTCTTAAGTGTAGTAAACAAATGCAACAAGTAATCATCGTGTTGGCTTCTCGTGTCGAAACCTGAGAAATTTGTAATATGTTGAAACAAATTAAGTAAATCTATAAAAAAGAAATTATTCGTTAGTTGTTTATATCATAGAATTGTGAGATAAATGTAACCATTGATCGAATGAAATCATAAACATCTTTATTTGTCGGATTTTGTGATTTAGTTTTTGTTGTTGTAACTCCCTGTGTTGATAGTAACCCTTATTGCTCTTGTACAATATCGCACTGAAACAATAACAGAGACGAAATGAACAATGCGCAATAAGTATTAAGCATTGAGCGATACCAAACGGTCTTGTCGCTCGTGCTGTTGAACAGTTGTGTTGCCCCTTCTCTACCGTTGAATCGTCGTCGAAATTGAATGCTTGGCTGTATATCGTCTTGAGCGCTTGCTCGAGCTGCCAGACTGAGTGGCTGATCAAGATGTCGGATTTGCATAATCTCGACTGCTCGGTCTTTTGGATTTGGCAACTGACCATTAGGATGACTGACCCTAGGTCCTTTTATTGTGGAGTGGTTTGGCATTCCAGACACTGCCTTAACTACCAGAATAGAAATTCTTTACAAAATTTGCATAAGTTCTTACAACATTCCAACAATTGCATGTAAGCTTATTTAACATATCGGAAAAAAATCTATAACAAAGACTTTGTCTGTAACATTTAAGCATTTAAGTATTGTAATTAAGACTGGTTAAAAAATTGGAAAAATTGGATTTGGGTAAATGACTCATCACTTTAGGCACCGGAATATTTGGTTTTGTGTAACAAATCATTTATCTGAGAAATATTGTGAATTCTAATTAAAACAACTCATAACATTTTTTTGGTTTCACCAACACTCTCGGCCTAAGGGGTTGTACTCAATGGCTATTAAGCACTGACCGATAATGACCGTGTTCACATATTATAGCATGCGATACAGCATATAATGTACCATTTGTCATTTTGCTGTTTGATTTGTTTGATTCGAAACTCTTGTCAATTCGACTCCGTCTGGATATTGGGATCGAATAACACGAGGAACGTTTAATCAGTCGGAATTGCCTGCTTAACTTTAGCTTTGTTTAAAAAATGAGAGAAAAGAAAAACTGCTTCAATCGGCTACTCTTTGCTATTCGATTTCTATAGGCGAATTTGGATACTCGATTTGTTATCGCAAATTCGAAACTCAAAGCAAAACTACAATACACTTGTTTTCAATCGCCTCAAAGCAAAATTACAATACACTTGTTTTCAATCTAGTAATTACTTCACAATTCAAACCTAACATAGGCAATGAAATGATTCGTTATCATCCATTTCTGTTGTATTGCTCAGGTAGATATAATATCGCGGATGTAAGTATCACTGCTATAGCTGAAGTTGATATCAACGTGTGAAAAATTAGGAAAAAAGTAATAGAATGAAATCACTACTAAGTATGTAAGTTTATGCACTAATTATAAGGAACAAGTGGTAATATAAAAGTATCATGATCATATTGTGCCAGGGATGCCTCTCGGATTAGTTCATTAGCCTTGAAAAATTACTTTTTAATGATACTTCTTCATTTTGGAGTAGTTGCAGTTTTGATCTTTGCACTCAGTGAATGCATCTTCCACTGTTCTCACTGCTAAAGTTGAACATATTGTCATCTTTGCTGTCTCAAACGCTTTTATTTTCTTTGACTGGCTGCAAGAAACCTCAGGATGATTCTGGATCCGATGATAAGCATAAGGGTGTGAGTCACAAAGAATATTACAACACCAAAAAACAACAAACATTATTTGCTAAGTGGTCCAATTCTGTAATACTGCTTGTTTCCTTCCTTCAATTTCTCCTCGAAATTTTGAAGATATCAGTAGCAATGCGTAAAAGCAATCGATCCCCCTCTTGATTGGTGTTTAAGCGCCTAACTGAACTAATTCATAGGTCAAAACGTTTTGTACTGGTTAGGAGACCTACAGTAACTTTGCGCCAATAGGTGGACTGATCTTTAGGTACCCTTTGTCGAATACCCATCAAGTAATAAGTACCTTATACAGGTACTTATTCGAAGCTTCGATTATTAGTCCACATCCGAAATCCTGAAACTTTATTAAGTTCTGCAAATCTAAGTTTGTTGATTCACAAACTTTAAAATTTATTTCAATTTGAAAAAGAGCAAAAAATGAGCAAACATTGGCTATTTCAAAGACTACTGAACCTACAGCGGCTATTCCAAACGATTTGTCTCCCAAAATTTCCAATCACATTAAGGAAAACAATGAATAGTACTTCTATGCTACTTTCTTGTCGTGCTAATATGCTGCAATCGGTTTGCATTCCAATTAGTCTTTAAGAATGAGTCATTAGTGGAATGTAGGATGTGAATAAAGTATGAACTGAAGTTGCGCATTATCAAAATACATATTGCATGAGTACGTCTATATGGATAGTTATTTTTTGAAATAATTTCATCAAATAATTGTGGAGTACAAAATTTCGGGTCATCCAGAATCTGAGAAATAGTTACGATTTTCACAAAAATGAGTTGTTAACAAGTTTCCACAACTCAAAGAAAAAAGAAAAATAAATTATCCTATGACCTCGAGAACGATCCTTAACAGCAGTAGATATGGGGGCTTTACGTCATTCAATCTGAATATTTGTTACAGTATGAGAATAAAAGCAAGTCGACATATCAGCAATTTCGAAATGAACGAGCTTTAATCCTAAAAAAACAGAAAAGACGAGTTAACCCAAAGCACAGATAGTCTAATTGGACAATAAGGTCTTGTGAATCATATTATCATTTCCATGAAGTTGTATGTCCAATGTCACTAGTGCTACCACCGAATAGTGCTATATTGAAGTAGGGTCATTCTGATCCTTTTATAGCACAGAGCAAAATTAGCTATTTCGAAACATTTATACGGAGAACTGTCATTTCAAATATAAAATTTTGGTTGAAAATTCAAGCTATCACTTTGATATTTAGTGTAACTATCTCCATTTGAATGGTGAATAAAGTTCTAAAGCTGATTTGAATAAATCGAACTGCGAAGATTACTTTTTGCAGTGAAATTTCTTCGACTAAAGCATATAAGAGAAGTTCATTAATATATTCTATCCATGAATGGTCAACCTTTCTTCAATTTGACTTATTGCGAAGTAAAGTGATTGTTGCTATGTCACAAATAAAAAACCCTACAAGGTTTCATCACTTTTTTAATATTTAATACCCTTAAGGAATCCGCCAACAACAAGGGAGTAAGCGAGTGGTGATAACATTCGTCCAAGACTGTAATACTGTTCTCACCAGACGACACACCTTTCACAGCAAATGTTATCAATACTTTTTTCCATTTTGCTGCGCCATTCCTCACCCCACCAAACTCGTTTTAAGCTTGCAATGATTTCACATTTAGTAAAAACGATGTCGTAAGATACCACAAATAATTTCCGGATCTTTTCTTTAAACACAATGTTTAGGACAATATTACAATAATATTTATTTCAAAGTGAACAAGAATCTTACGCATCTATGTGAACAGGATACAATAATAACATCAGGCAAAAATTCGCCGATCTAAATTAAATCTACAAATTGTTGACAAATTAGTCACGCGAACAATCTGTTAGTGACTCTCACTCAGTCAAAGTGATGAAAGAATAAATAGAGACATGTTCTGGCAGATGTTTCCGTGGTTCTAGGTAAGCAAGCTCGATTAATGTGAACGCTTCAGCTACGTCGCCACCAGCTTTTTCAACCAGTGATATAGCTGCTTTTAAACTACCACCCGTTGCTAAAACATCGTCCACTAATAATATTTTTGAACCCTGACTGATTGCATCTTCTTGTATCTCGATTACATCCTGCAGATGAACTAAAGAAATATTACGAGCCCGTATAAATTGAAAAGAAGAAAAACGAATTAGAACTTAACTACAGTCTTCTGCAGGATATATGGTATGACTTTTGGTGGAACCATGCAGGGTCCAATAATTGAATGTTGCTTCACGATGTTGTGTTTATGATTGAAGTTCAATTATAACGCATTGGAGTTATTTATTATGATCAAATATAACCGCGTTTAAAAACATCTGCACATGAACTCCAAAAGAAATTAAAAAACTAACTTCGCCATATTCTTTCTGATAGATTTCTTTGTGTGTTTTCCCTGGTAGTTTGCCTTTTTTTCTAATCGGAACAAAGGGCACCTTCAATATCATGGCAATTTGGGGACCAAATAAGAAACCTGCATTGCATATTCAAGACATTATTCAATTAAAACTCTGTTTAAAAAAAAAAACGTATAGGCAATTTATTTTTTCACATCTTTATTAGCACTTCGCTCTTTGGAAAAAGAAGTTTTACCTGGATGAATTAACATGGGTAGGTAGCCGAAGTAGTCAATTTGAAATGTTTTTACGGGAAGGTTGAGAATGAATGCACTCACCACGAGCTTCCAAGCCAGCAACAGCATCTATTTTGACAGGTATTTCAGCACGAGCATGCTCAGCTATTGCTGCACATAATTCTTCAAGTAATAGTGGATGGCGCATCAATAGCATCACATCTCTGCAAACAACTCTTATTCATTAAAAAGGAAAAGTTAAAAGAGATCCACTATGTCATCAATGTCATAAGATTTCAACAGATAAAGTGGCCATCCAAACCTTCCGTAAGGCATCCTAACTCGTTCTGGTTTTGAAATCTTTTCTGCTTCCTGAAATATCGAATGGCACTGAAACTGGAACTAGACTGACCGTCTTAAATTACCCCATCATTGTGGAATAAATGTTAATACAGTCGAATAACTAACATTTTATCTCTCTACCAACTGTTTTATAAAGCAGAAGAGAAGAAATCTTACATAAATTTAATCCCCGGTCTTGGAAAATCTGAAAAAACTCGCAGTTTCGATCCAACTTCCTTCTCCAGACATTTCAGCTCACGTTTACTTGACAATAGTGTTTCTGCTTGATTATTCATAGAACAGGAATTCGCCCTGAAAACCTGAATTTCTCACTGTTATGAAGTAAGTACTGAATTCAGACAATTTGAGCATGTTGGGATGTCCGCCATAGAATGTTAAAATACGAGATCAAATATAACTTCAGCAAAACATTCATATATTCCTTAGTGGTGGCTTTACTAAGCTTATGGGACACTCTCTACCGCCAGTCACCGTTGAATTTCGAAATAATATTCCTCACCCATTCCCGCCTATCTCCTGCGGTCATTCAAACCACAGCAATTACCAGATTTCACAAGCCTTTTACACAACAGCCTGGGCAATATTTCACGGCTGGTTGGGTATTTATCCTGGCTGAAGCAACATACTGGGACAGGTCGGTATAGGGAGAGAGGTGGAAACGTAACGAGCTTGTGTTGTGCATGTATGTAAGCGTTTCGTGCTGACTTAGTTGGCAGGGAACTGCTTGCATTGACGTGTCACCTAACGACGGTAGGCCTGTCAACCAACCATACA